GTTCCTTGGTCCTTTTTCAATTCAAAGAAATTTTATCAAACATTCTATGATGACCAAATTTGCCACGCAAGGTGCAGTTTTAAAACACAATGCAATAAGTACCGCAAAGAAATGACAGTTTGAACGGTTTGACTAACACGTTACATCCATTGTTTCCTAAACGTTCTTGAGCATATTCAACATAGAAATCACTTGCCACTAAAGCTCCTATAACAGATGGCAGGTACTTATTAATAGAGGTATCAACTTCAGTAAAGTGTCCCCAATTTGTGCAATGTCAAAAAATGTCCAAATCTGTGTAAATGAGAAAAAAATCCTATTAAAATTTACTAAAATCAGTCAAAAAGTAAAAAAAAAAGTCAAAAACGTCAAAACAAAACTCAAGAAAAAGTCAAAAAAGTCAAAAAAAGTTAGAGAAAGTCAGAAAGTCAGAAAGTCAACTTTGACTTTAAGTCGGTGTACACCCATCGGGGCCAGTGAGCAACCCCTCGCTCGGTGCGCATGCGCACTCATAGCGGACTTTTGCCGTTTATCAGGTACGCCGTGAGGGTGAGCGCACTAAACCGCGCGGGCGCTGGCCCGGCGAGCGCCGAGGTGGTGTCCGCGACGGACGAGGACGTCCCCGGCGGCGCCCCCCAGGACGTGACATGCACAGCGCTCTCCCCGAGCAGCGTTCTCGTGTCCTGGGCGCCGCTGCCACCGCACGCCGCCCGCGGCCGCCTGCTCGGCTACCGGGTCGTGTACCGGCCTCTTCCACAGCAGGCCATGCAGGTGCGGACCCACCCAAGCCGTCGCAGCGTGTTGTCTTTGCCTTTTGTTTCCAACAACACCGTACTCCCTTTCGCTTGCCCCGCAGGACGAGCTGCTCTGGCCCGAAGAGGGTGACGGTGAGGACAGCTCCCTGACGACGCGCGACCTACGCCTGGCGCTGCTGCACCTCGAGAGCTACCGGAACTACAGCGTCGAGGTGCGCGCCTTCACGGGCAAGGGCGACGGCGCTCCGGCGGGCCCCGTGTTCTGCCGCACACACGAGGACGGTGAGGAGGAGGAAGAGAAGGGGGAGAAGGAGGCGGAGGTGCTGAGGTTAAGGTTAAAGAGGAGCTAGCAACTGACGGCGTTCCTTGTCTCCCGCAGTTCCCGGGGAGCCCGGTGACATCAAGGCGCTCGTCATGGACTCGGAGTCGATCATGCTGTCCTGGCGGTCGCCCCGACACCCTAACGGCATCCTGCGGAAGTACAAGATCTACATGCGGTCGCTGGACGGCCTGGGGCTGGTACGTGACGCGAGAGAGAGAGGAATAGGGATAGAGAATCAATTCTGACTTGTGATTGGGGTATGACGGGTGCGCAGGCCAAGGACGAGTTCGAGGTGCCGCCGTCGCAGACCCACTACCGCATCACACACCTGCGGCTGCACCACCGGTACGAGTTCTGGGCGGCGGCCACGACCGCGGCGGGGAGCGGCGCCTCGTCGCGGAGGGTCGTGCAGGCGCCGGCGCAGTCCGCGCCCGCGCGCATCGTGGACTTCGGCGGCCGCGTCATCGCCGAGGTGCGGCGCGACCTCAAGCTGCCCTGCCGGACGGTGGGCTACCCGGCGCCGCAGCCCGCCTGGACGCTGCAGGCCGACCCGGTGCGCGGCGGGGACCGCCTCCAGGTCACCGTCGACGGCGAGCTGCGCCTGGTCGCCGTGCAGTCGTCGGACGCCGGCAACTACACGTGCGCCGTCGAGAACTCGGGCGGAAAGGACTCCATCACGTACTACGTCAGCGTTGACGGTAAGGGTTGATGCTGAGAAACTACTCCGTCTCCTGTAAGGAGACAACCGTCCCTAACTTTTGTCGGCCGTCTTTGTCTGTGCTATCCTCTGGAAATTTCGCAGAAAACCGCAATAAAGGAGGTGAGACCTACATTCCGTTTTACAAATTATAACAAAATATTTAAAAATGAACTGTCTCGACATTCTGTGGCGATTCTTTCATTATTTGCAGTCCCCACCACTCCACTGGGGCTGCGGGTCGCTACGGCCACCGTGTCCTCGCTGACGGTGCAGTGGAGGCCCGGGACGGGGCTCGCCATGCCGACGGGGTACTACCTCCACTTCAAGCGGGAGTTCGGGGAGTGGGAGAAGACGAAACTGTCGGCCGAGCAGGTGACGGTGCGCAACGGCACGGACAGCCACTGCAGCCACAGCCTGCTCGGCCTCCTCTGCGGCACCAAGTACCAGATGTACGTGTCCGCCTTCAACCAGCTGGGCACGGGGCTGCCCACCGCCATCCTGCACGCGCGCACGCAGGGCTCACGTGAGTACTCGCCGCGCCTACTCCCCCTCCCCGATTACATTTTTCAACAACATCTCCTAAACGGCAATGCGATGAGCATTTCTAAACGAGGGTAGAATTAGGGGTCATCCAGGAAGTACGCGCGTCATTCAAAGTTCCGAAACTGCCAAGTTAAGTCTCTGCAAGCGCCCCTAGAGCCTGTTGGGTAGGCAACATCTTGTCTGCAGTGCGTGCGTGTACTGCTGGGTGGCCTACCCCGAGTCTCGCAGGCGCTCAGCCGCTCAGCTCCCGAAATTCTCCGAATGAGATTGAGAAAAAACGGACGTACTTTCTGGACGATCCCTTACGACCGACCACGAAAACAAAACAGTTCCTTGCCTAACTTTTGACTGTGCAGCGCCGGTTGCGCCCACGACGGAGGCGCTGCTCCGCGTCAACTCGACCTCCATCGCGCTGTGGCTGGGCGCCTGGCAGGACGCGGGCTGCCCCATCAGCTCGCTCGTGCTCGAGTACAAGCTGCGGCACGAGCACGCGTGGACGCTCGTCTCCAACAACGTGCAGGTGGACCGGCTCGAGTACTCGGTGCTGGACCTGAGCCCCGCCACGGGCTACACCCTGCGCATCACGGCGCACAACAGCGCCGGCTCCACCGTCGTCAACTACGAGTTCGTCACGCTCACCAACTCGGGAGGTGAGTCCTGGGCCTGGGCGTCCAAAGTGTCCCGGGGGTCACTCGAGTCACCGTCGCCATGTCGCTTTTTCCGTGTTGCAGTCGCGGTTTCCCCGGAGCCCGGCGGTCGGGCGGCCGGCGGGGCACCCGCGCTCGGGGTGGCGGGCGTGGCGAGCCTTGCGGGCGGCGCGGGCGCGCTCCTGCTGGCGGGGGCGGGGCTCGTGGTCGCGGTGCTGCGGCGGAAGCACCGCGCCAGGCACCCCGACGGCGACAAGGCGGCCGGTAAGTGAACACTAGGAGGAGGGGCTCCGGGTAGATGAGTTGGGCGTCACTTGTATCCAAACGTTTTGTTTCAGGGGCCGACCTGACGGAGCCGCCCTTGGGTAAGGGGGCCCCGGGCCTGGCGGGGCTGCGCAAGGGCGGGAGCCACGGCGGCCACCACCAGTCCGTCCGGGAGCGGGAGCAGCGCGACTCGGTCCGGGACCCGGCCGACCCGGCGCCCTTCCTGCCGACGCCCATGCGGGTGTCGCTGGGGCGCCGGGAGGACATCAACCCCTACGCCACGTTCAGGCTGCCGGGCGCCGGCGCGCCGCCGGGACACCCCGCGGGACACCCGGCCGGCCCGGGGCTCTCGCCGGTGCACCGGCACCCGCTGCAGTCGCCGCAGCACACTGTATGCATGGTGAGTGGCGAGGACCTGTTCGGAACGTGTTGCCGGTGATGCAACGCCAATATTCAGGAAACGCACAACTGTCGTCGACTCCTTTTTCAGTACGGCAGCTGCGGCGACGCCGTCTACACCAAGATTCGCGGCAAGGAGGAGTCCATGGCTCCAGACTGGATCCCACTGCACACCCTGTACCAGGAGCGGCGGTACTGACTAACAGTCCAGGGCGGCGGCTCTCTGTACAGCCTGTACCAGTACTACCAGCAGCTGGAGCTGGAACTGCGGCGCTACGAGGGCACCGACCCGGGCCCCGACCTTCCTCTCGATCTTGGCGTCGACCTGGGCCTGGGCCTGTCCCGTAACTACCGGTTCCCCAGGACGCACGGTGAGCACCGCGCCCACACCCTCCAGCACGGCCAGCGGCAAGACTGGCTCTAGGCAGAGCCAGTCCCTCTCCTCTTTCAACATGACAACTCCTCCTTCGCCTTACATGCAGCAGTCTCAAGTTATTGTCTTGTATTAGGTTGTTAATTCTGCTCCCTGACTGATATGGAGATATTAGGAAAGTGATATGCAAACACCTGCCGAGTTCTGGGTTCTCTTGCTCACTAAAATTTGCCCCGCCCTGGCCCCAGTGAAAAAAATTGTATTTTATCCAGTCTTGTATGTTAGATTTGAAGTCAGAAGTGGTGTCGATGTGGCTTAAACTTCAAGTTTTGAAGTTGCCATAGTTTTTAGGGCAATGAATTATACTTGTAAAACCACTGCCAACAATTGATCCAAAATGAGTTCAACTGACTAATTTTATGCAGCTCTTTAGGCCGTGCATGACCAGAGCTCATAGGAAGAAATATATGTGATATATGTGTTTTGTATGTGCAATTATTTATTTTTTGTTAAGTCTGGTAAACATTTGATGACCCTCCACTTGTTATGATGTAGCCTAACCTCAGGTCATTATTTTGGAAGGGGTTTGGCTTGTGATATGTATTTAGAAATGTACAACTCAGTGTGTTCCATTAGCTCAGCAAAGACTGCCGAAAAATATTTTACCTATATTAAAACAACACAGTATGTTGACCACTGATAACTTAATGGAGAAAAAATGTCTTCCAGAATGGATGCATGAGATACATAAAGTTAAAAAATGGCTCAAACTTGCAGCAGCAGATTCCAAAAATCACACCATATTGTATACTTTTTAAATCCTAGTTCTAAGATATTTGTCAGCATGAAATAACTTTTGCAGCCATGTCTGTCATGCTTCACTTTGATCGACTAGTCGTTATTACAAAGTAGAACTGGTTTGCGTACTCCAGATTGGAGCTCTGGATCAAGAAGGAGAATTATAAAAGTTCAGATGTAAGCCCCTCCAAGTCAAAATTGAGTTTGTATAAATCACTTTGATGGACATTGTCACAAAAACACACAATAGCATTACACCAAAAATACAGATTAAAAAAAAAAATCATGGAATATTACTGCTGGAAATCATTTTAGATGTAAACAGACAATTTAAAATCGAATTGCGATCATACTCTACTGCTTGAGTCAATATGGTGTGCCTTCCTCTGAAGTAATTTTGCTGTTTAGAAAGGGAAAATGACCGATTAGTTTTAAAATGTAACTGCAATCTCCCAATCTCATAATAATTTTTATCAGATGACTAAAACATATTTCAATCAGTTTAAAGTCTACAGAGAAAAAGAATACTTTAATCAGTCTGCATGTACAAATTGTAATAGAAGAACATGATTCCTAATTATTTTTAACTGGGCAGTAAACTTATTTCACATTGTGTACTTGTAACTTTATTGAGTGAATGTGCTGG